TCACCACTGCGACACGGCAGTCCTCATCGTACCAGCTTTTTTCCTTGCACTGCCGAAAACCAATTGTTACCGCAGCGTCGAAACATAGCGAGTTAGCAATGCCGTCCCACAGACATAGGCGGGTGCGTATCTTCGCTGCAACAAGATAATGGTCCGAGTCGAGTGTACGCACGTCAATAACACTGGAGACATGTCTTCCAACGGGATGGATCTGGTTTCGTTTTTTTCGGTCAGGGGACAGCCAGGTAGCTTGATATATATTTTTTGTGCTGGAATCTAGTACTACAGACAACCAAATTTCGAACCCCGGCGAAGTCGATCAGCTTCAGTCCGAATGGGGATGTTTCGTTGAGAAGTCTCGATTTTCCGTCAGTTGAGCCGAATATATCTTCTTTGCCCACGCTGGCATTGAAGACAGCAACCACAATTTTGTTATCGTGACGTGGGCAGCGCTCAAAAGCATGCTCGCGGCGCTCGTCAAAGGCATCCTTGGTCACATCGTCCTTCCCATCCCACCCCATCGGGGCGCGGCACAACTCAGCGTAGTGTTAAAAAATTTGGTTTGGATGTGAATTGTGGCGAGACGTTCATCTATTAGAGTGAATGCCAGTGCCCTGTGTCGGAGTCTAGCCCACCACAAATCCGAGACCGATTTCGTGATACTTTATAACGCAAGGACCCACCTTAATCCGTCCGTGTCCCTTCCATCACACTTCTTGTGCAGCGGTGATGTCAGCCTTTGTTTTGTTAACTGGAGGGTGTCATTATAATTTTTATTCAAACCATTGCAAGAGACATATGTATGTAGGTGATTCTTTAATTAAGAGTAGGTGAATTTAGGTGAATTCAAAGAACAGTTTTTTTACTCAAAATTTATTATTCAAATTCAGGCAATCGCTACCGATGCTTGATTGCTGTTGCATACCAAAAACGTTCGATTCCTCAATTTCACTGTAAATAAGTGACCATTTATATATTTCCTGACAGCACGCCAGACCTTGCATTCACCCACTCTCAGTTTCAGGAACTCCATTAGAATAGAATGCATTGAAATAAAATAGAAAATTCAAAAATCAGAATCCAAAACCACAAACCCTTTCAACTAGACGCACTCAACTAACTCGACGACGATCGTCATTTGTTAATTTAACGCTTCACTCGTTTGACACCTGCTGCCTTCCTGTGCATCGATTAATATATATATATATATATATAAACGTGGGTATATACAGGAGTTTATACAAAAGCTGGCTATACCGGCACCGACTGCTGGCGGGATGCAACAATATATATATATATATATAAACGTGGGTATATACAGGAGTTTATACAAAAGCTGGCTATACCGGCACCGACTGCTGGCGGGATGCAACAGAAAGTAAGCAAAAGCTGGTAGTTGTTAATGCACTTGCGCTTGGCTATGCCCAGAGATTAAACTTAGTGGATTTAGTACAACAAAAACGACAACAGCTGGTAGCTTGGGTAAGCTGTATGTGTGAGCAAAAAAGTTTAGAAAGCATAAAGTGCAAAGCGTGCATGCCACCACAGACATTTATCATCCTGTTTGCGCTGGCTATTACAATACATCACGAGAAGCAGGGCATACATATGTGTGTATATACTCGTGGACACATTTGTTTGTTAAGCTCTTGTTTGCTTATCAGCGGAAGTAAGACAAAAAAATATTTCTCGTTTAATATTTTTTATTTACATTTTATAATTATTTACATCATTTCTTTTTTTATATTATTTAGCATTTCAAATTGTTGTTCAAAAATGCATACAAATAATGCCAATAAATGAAATGGTCAAAATTAAAAAAATATGTTTATCTGCAAAAAGTTAAATTAGATATAAAAATACTTCGCACGTTAACTACCAGACTTATATCCTTCGCTTCTTCATCCCGTCTGGCGACAGCAGAACTCCCGGCGCGGTTGTTGAGGCTAATAATGTCAATATCATCGGCTTACGCTGGCAGCTGTATAGTCTTATAGAAAATTGTACCTTCTCTATTCAGCTCTGCAGTTCGTATTATTTTATCCAGCAATAAATTCAGGAGGTTACACTATGAGGAATCACCCAGTCTGAAACTTCCTGATCCTGGCGAAAATTTTAGGACTGCCTAAGGTCAGTTTACATCGCCGATTAAGTTTTGCGGTGATACCAAATTCAGACATAGCGGCGTAAAGACAGGTTCTAGTCGTGTTGTCGAATGCTGCTTTAAAATCGAAGTAGATATGGTGTGTGTCGATCCTCATTTCACGGGTCTTTTTAAAGATTTGGCGCATGGTGAATATCTGATCAATGGTTGACTTACAAAATCTGAAGCCAAACTGATAAGGTCCAATCAGTTTGTTGACGCTGGGGATTCGTCTTTCACACAATATGCGCGATAGAATATTATATGCGATATTAAGGAGGCTTATCTCACGGTAATTGGCACAATCGGTGTAATTTTTTGTGGTTAGATTCCAATCGGACGGCATGATTTCTTTCAGCCATGTTCTGTAAAGGAGCTGATGCATAGACTTTAAAAGTTATTCACCCTCGTATTTGTATAACTTGGCCGGTAATCCTTCGGCCACCATTCACTTTGACTGCCATTCAGCTGGCTAGTGAAGTGTCCCCCCATAAGTTTAGTTCACTCTGGGCATCAATTAGTAGACACCTCTTTTTGTAATACAAGAGTCTGCTCCGATCCAGCATTACCTTTGTTGGCCAGCTTGTCTTCTTAGTCACGCGTCTCGGCCTTTTTTTTTTGTCTGCTATTGCTTCTTCCTTCCTTATTGATTTCTTGGTATATATCCCATCCCGCACGTGTTGTGGTCGATCGCATGGTGGCAAGGTATGCAGTCTGATTTCTCTATACTGCTACACGGCAGTCCTTATCGCACCAACTTCTTTTGCAATATTTTTGAAAGCAAACACTCTTACTTTGCATCAATAGAACCACTACTTTCTCAAAAAGAAACTAATACAGAGGATGAGTCAGATTTTCACTTGTTCTTCTGATCAACGCAACAAGCGTCCTTTTTCATTTATTTGATTAATTTTGCTTATTCGCGTATCCCCAGTTTGTTCGAAAAATCACCGTCCACTACATGTTGTTCAAGCACCAAGCCGCCGTATGTACGTTGTTGTAAACGGTCAGCTAGCTTCAGTTCTTATGCGAGATGTCAAAATACTGCCCTGTCTGAAGAAATGACCGCCAGATGATATTACGCTGAGCGGGATCTCAGGCAACTATTTAAGCTTCGGCAGCATTTTCCAGGGTCATTGCGGTAAAGAACGCTGCTGCAATAACTAGGAACGCTGAAAACCGCATTAAGTAACATACGTACTAGATGGTGTGAAAAAAAGTACGATACTGGCTTTATTTTTGTTTTTGACTGCTGATTGATGTTTGATGCTCCAGCGCAAGAGAGCATCGCGAAAATCAATGACTTTGTGCTTTAATTTCTTCTGCATCCACTGTATTCGCCCGATTTGGCTCTATCGGACAAATACGTGTATCTCTGCCCAAACCTCAAAAGATAGCTCATCAATAAAAAAAATTCACTCATGCGAGGAAATCGTCGTCGCCGCGAAGGAATATTTCACTGAACAGAACGGCTTACAAGATCGCTAATAACCTGTGCAGATTCAGTGAAAGAAATCACAAATATTTCTTGGTCTCACGGTGTTGAAAGGAATGCAGGAGAGTTGCAGCAAGTGCAGTGAGAAAAGCAAGATCTAAGCTGCTTCTGCCTGGTGTTATCTAAAACTCTTCAGAGACCTCTACTGGCCTCGTAATTCAAGGTAATTATATGTCAAGCTATCATAAACTGCCGTAAAAGTAATGACGTCCCAAATGACGACTCGAATCGAATCTCCAACTGGCGTAATAGCTAGCCTGTAAAACGAACACAGCCTATGTTTTTAAAGTTTTGTTCACAACATTAGTAAGGTATATTTTAGAATAGGACTCCACTCTGATAGCTAAAACCAATTCTCCAAAATTGTCGCCATTTGCCTTAAGAAATATGCAACTTATGATTTACTAACCTCTCCATTCTGCTGCACGCACAAATATACTTGTGTACTATAACCTTTAACGTCCGCAATGATTTAACTATTTCAAATAAATCAAACAAAAAAAAAAACTAAATATTCAACAGCAAGCAGTCAAACAAATTGTATTTGCAACAAGTCAATGTGCCTATAAGTATGCTCTATTTTTTTACTACCCAAATAGAATGTTTGCATGCGCTCACAATTTATGTTTAAATATCCATTTACAAATATTTAAGTTCAAACAAAATATTATATTAAAATATACCTTAAATGCATACATCCATACTTCCAACGAAGACTAAAACCATCCATCAAATGGATGTTTTCCTTAAATTAATATAAATAGAAAAGTATTTATATTGAATGCAAAGCCGTTTGCATATACTCATTTAGACACTCAGAGGCATACATACATGTGGCTGAGCAATGGAAATGTAGAAATTTAAAAAATATCTAAAAATTCCATAGCTTAATGCAACAAGGAAAATTATAAAATTTTGTCTGTTCTCTTGATAATTCATAGTACAGTGTTGGCATACTTTAAAAAGCATTAATAAGCGCTCTAAATAAATTAATATCACCGCTTCAACTAGACGCTAGACCTTTGAGTAGAAGTTAAAATTAATTAATTAAAAATATTCTAAATAATTAGAAATTTCCTTATGAATGTGTAAAAATTGAAATTAAACTTGTAAGTAGAAATGGCCGTATTTAATGCATACGGCTTGATTTCTCCACACTTTTGTGAAAACATCCACTAGCATCTCAAAACAGCTCATCATATTAATAAATAAAAATAAAAATAAAATAATAATTTATATTTATTATTCTTTTTTAACAATTTTAAAATAATTTTTAATATATACTAATAATGCTGCACGAATTTCATTTATTTGCTTTGAAAAACAAAATCAAAAATAAACAAAATTGGCACACTGCCTTAGATCCGCATCGTATTTTTATGTTGGCTGCCATGGATTCTACGCATGAGTCGTCCTGGTAGGCCACTAATATTGGAATTTCCAACGACACCCTGCTCGGACACATCATCGGAACGGAAACATCAGATATTGTCCGATGTCGAACTGAAGGAGCGGTAGGAAATATTAACAAACCAATTAATATTAATGCATTTATGAAATCGTTAACAACCTTTATTTAAAAATAATTTATATTATTCATTAATTATATATAAAGTTTTCTTATGGTTACTAATAATATTTTGTTGCTCTTCAATTATAATTCTAACTAATAGCTCTTCGAAATCCTTACTCGCTAATGTGCTCGACATCGATGATGATTTCCGACACAATTGTCGCCCAATGACGCCCGGTGGCACTTTACCGCACAACCCCGCATTCTATCGCACCGTTTATGGGTAACATGTGACCAGCTGATGAGCGAAATAAATAATGATTTAATTGAATACTAAATAGAGAAGAAAGTGACTGATTGAAGCAATTACGAGTTTTTGTAACTTAAAAAAAAAAAAATTTAAAAAGATCTTCACAAAATTAATAAGAAACTATTAATACATATATATCTAACTGGTAGAATAAACCAGATTTTGCATTCCTCAAATCCTCAACAGATTATAATGAATTTTGCTGAGATTGATATTATTTAGAATTTTTCTCGGAGGCATAGAAACTCCTTGGCTTCTCTGAAATTTTATTGAGCTAGTCCTTATTGCACCTGATATTCTAAGTAGACATATATATGTGGCACCTGTCCACCTGGTACTGCTTGGAACCTGTTTCCTTCAGCTAAGTTTGCAGTATTAAAAAAATTTAAACTGAGTAAATAATTTATTATTTGCAATCAGTAAAAAAAATGGTGTTGATTATATTCTTAATAATTAAAATGATTTTATGTATTTCTAGAATTTCCAAATTATTCAATTTTCATTGGCTTATAAGGTCTTCAGTTCAAAATAAACGTTTAATTCCTTTAAAAGATATGAAAAATGCAGCTAAATAATCAGCAGTCACATTCTTCTTTATAACTATGAAATTTTGCAAATACTCACTTACTAAAATCAATCATTTCTAATGACTCAGGCAAGGCGATGACGGCAGCATCGGTCCGATCGGCAGTACCCGCATGCCGGATGCGGTGACGCATCACACGTGTATCAAATCAGCAACGGAATATGAACTAGGTTTAATTTTGAAGGAAATTCGCTTTATAACTGATCAGGTATATCCAAACAGTTTTCAATATTTGTGAATTATTTTTGGACAATTAATAAAAAAATTTCTTCTTATAGTATTATTTAAAAATATCTGAAGTAAATATATAAAAATAATTTTCTTTTAATGCTTTGGTGATTCAGAAGCTATTTATTATTTGAAAATAGCAACATAAAAATATTTTAGAGTTATCCATATACAATTTACTTTAATATATGATGATATAATACTTATATGTACATACACACATCTACAAAATAATAATATGCATGCATTGAAAATTCGCTTAAAATTCCAACACACATATAAAATACTTTCACCAAGAAAAGTAGATTTTTCTCTAGATCTAAGATCATTCTTTATTTATAAATAAAATAGGCGAAATTAGTTTCTACAAATATAGCGAAATGTCTAATCTTACTTATTCGGAAAAGAAAATTTACTTAATAACTACTTGTGCTCTTTCTTTTCTAATTTTATCATATTCCTGCGTTTCGATGCGAAAATTAATTTTAATTTTAAAATAATAACAATATAAAAAATTAAAACTAATATTTGATTATGTAAACAATTGAAACTAAAATAATAAAATTAAAAAAAAATTAAATTAAATATAAAAAATAAAATAAAATAAAATATTTAACGAAAATAAAATTTAATATAATTGATTGAAAAATACTATATCAACCACAAAAACTATGTATGAAAATGTATCACCTAAAAATGTGTGCTATTGCATTTTTTTATATTATATAAATCACACAAAACAGCTACGTAAAGAAGACGAGGAAAATGACATTGCCAATGATTGGAAATTCGCAGCTATGGTCGTTGACAGACTGTGCCTTATCATATTCACAATGTTCACAATATTAGCCACAATAGCTGTACTACTATCAGCACCACATATTATTGTCTCGTAGCCATATGAGCGAGGTTATTGTTATTGGTTTTATTATAAAATCAATTTGTTAATTATTAAATTAATAACGAAAATTTTTAAGTAAACTTTAAAATTTAAAACCAAAAAAAACGTAAAAATTAAACCCACAAAAAAACTGAAAAAATATCACAAAAACACAAACAGATACGCACAATTCAAACACAAAACAACACACGTAGACATACAATACATACATACCGAAATTAATACAAACAGTCGACGTGTCAATCAAACCCGCACACATATACACACACAAAATATCTATAACAACTAAATGCAATAATCGAGTTTTGAAAAATAATACGAAAATTAAAAAAGAAAATTCCGAACAAACACGAACCAAAGCAAAGAATTCCTACACGCTCAAATAACAACGCCACAGTAAAATCAACAAAAATAAAAGTAAACAACAGTTCTCACACCATCAACAACCAATCAACACACTTTCAGACAGTTACAGAATAATACTTGAAAAAAATCGGAAAATTTTAATAAAATAATGCTTAAACTTTTCAACGAGTTTAAACAAACCAAAAAAATCGTAAAACCAATTAAAAATAAAAATAAAACTAAATTTCGTAACACACTTAAAGAAAAAAAATTAAAACCTTAGTTAAATATATAAAAAAAAAAAAAAAATAAATAGCTTTTTCTCTTTCTAAACAGAAAACTTTAGCGCGTAATTAAATTTTTTTAATTAAACTAAAAAATTAATACTTTATTCTAAAACTTCCAATTAATTTCAACAACTAGTGACGAAAAAAATTAATAATGAGTTTAGCGACAGTTTTTGGAAAAAAGAAATCTAGAAATTTTAGTAGGAAAGTATTTTAAGAATAACAAGAAGATAAACGGTCAGTTTGGAAAGGAACTCTTAGTACACATTTCATTTGAAACAAATATATAATATATTGTTACCATTTCAGTTTTTAAGTTTATTGTTTTGTTACACTGATAGACCGAAAAGTCAGTTGCGTGGTGGATAGAAAAGCTCTGTTCATCTCTTGAGAATAGAGTTCACAGACTTTAGTCCTTTTTTGTTTTATTTTATACTTTTTAAGTTCCTTTCTATTTACAATTGTTTAACAAAAATTAAAATTATACATAAATTTAAATTTTTTTATTTTATGTATTTTGGTTCAAAAACAGCCAGCAATCCCTTAAACGAATATACAACATTTTTTTTGACCAGCTGAAAGCCTTTTAATTTTGTTCCTGGTATTTTGATTTTTTCTAAGCTTTTCTAATGCGAAGATAGACTAAAGTTTTTGAACTCTTATCACTGGAAGTTTACCATGTAGAAGTAATTTCGAAAGCTATAAAATGTAAAACTCAAATTAAATTCATTAAATAATTCGTGAGTAATAGAAAAACAGATTTCAAGATACACAATTTATATTGGTTTCAAATGACACAGCGTAAATTCAAATAGAAATTTATTTTACACGAATGGCTTATTAAACTGACAGTACTTCCAGGAAGCTTTGCTTATTCTTATGCCTTTGGAGCTTTTTGAAAATTAAACTCAGAAAAATTTAACTATATGGCAAGGTTCGAGGAGTGTCAAAGCTTTATTTGCAGCTCAAACAGTAGATATTTCTTTGACTTTCACAGAAGAATTAAAAAAGATTAAGAATTAGCTTTCTTTTCAATTTTTAAGTTCATATTCCATAGCATCTTCATGATTTATTCAACTTATTTTACATTTCCTTTTACGTTACAATAAAGCAATTTATTTTTATATAATATATTTAAATTTCAATCATTTAATCATTTGAGTAAACACTTAACATTTTCAATAATCTAATATCTTCACACAAAAAGTACGTACAAGTAGAGAGCTAGCAAATTATCCTAGTACCTATTAAAAACTTTTGAAACATCATCTTACCTTTCAAATCAGATCAAGTATATAAGTAACGAAATCTATTAAACGGGGGAGAAGAAGAAAGGGAGAAAAACTGGAATAGAGAGGAAAGAAAAAAGGGAAGAAAAAAGGGGAGAAAAATAATGAATAAATCTCTTCCAGCAGCATTTTGTAAATAAATAGTTTATTTGACATTCATCAAACATACAAAGATAAATTTTTGCATTGATAATAGCATATTGTAGAAAAAAATCATCATAAGAAGTATTTAGATCTTAAACGTTTGCATAAACATACATATATGAAAATACATAGACAAGACGACTTCATCGTAGAAAAGGAATTAGCTAAAAGGAATATAAAATTAAACCATAAATAGTAAACTTATATATGTATGACGTGAGCTGACATTTCATAATCAAATTCACAAGAATTCAAAAATGACGAATTACAAAAAGGATCATTAGCTAAATTTACTTCTCATATTAGCAGCAATATTTTATACAAAAAGAAAAGTAGGCAACAAAGTAAAAGATTTAGAGGACGTTTTTTACTTAAGTTTAAGCAATTTAAAAATATTTTAATTTCCTAAAGTATTCAAAAAACTATATTTTTAACCATTTTATTTAAATAAACATAATAATAATTATTAATTAAATTTTTACTGAACCTTTTCATTTTCAGTACGATGTATTATTTTGTTTCTTTTTCATTTTTTCACATTCCAGAAAGGTTTCCATTAAAAAAAAAAGTAAACGCAAAATGTATGCAAATTATCGCAAGCATGCATAAAATTTAAAAAAATTGAAGAAGAAAAAATAACCCAAATACTAAAAAAATAAAGTAATCAGTAAATAAAAAGCCGTTAAAACTGCCAATTATTTATAACAAAGTAAATCTACTACTAATTAAATTAGTATATAAAGTGTTTGAAAAAAAATTATCGCATGCGATATTTTGCAAATCATTAGCAATCTCTAAAAATAAATACCATAATAATTAAACTCCCAGCAAATAAACCACGCCCTCAACCCTTAAACACAATTAAACGAACGTACAAAACCAATATAAATAACCCAAAGAAAAAAAATACATATACTGGGAAAAAATAACCAAATAATAGTTAAATGAAAAAAATTTCATCCGCGAAAAATGTTATGCGTGATAATTTCGTGTACGCAATAAAATAACAACACCTCTCATAAGCTCATAAACAAGCATACGACGCGTCACCATATGCGTGTGTGGTTTCGCTGGCACGTGTGTGTGTAGGTGGGTCCACTAAATTGCGTGGCCCTCACAAAAAAAAGGCGAAAACACCGTGAAATTATTGAAATCGTGCATACACTGCGAGAAATGGTTGCGAGCAATAATATTTGCGTGTTGATGACGGCAAAAATGTTTATACATACTTATGCACATATGTACATATCGTATGGAATGCGTTATGATCGATCGATTTATTGTTTGGCTGCGGCTGGGGGCTGTCCACATATGTAGTAGGTACATACCTATGTACATATATTTGTGTCAGTCACCAACTTGGTTGTGTAGGTGGGGGTAAGTTTCCATGTTTTTGCTTTTTGTAGGGCTATTGGCTCGCACTATTTTCGAAATATACATTTAAAGCGAATTTGTTGATTTTTTGTAAGCGGAAACGAATCAAAAAAGGGCTAAAATAAATGTCATCATAAAATAATATATAATAATATATATTTCTTCCTTTAAATTATCCAACCAACCCGATACCCACGCACTTGAGACATCAATATATGTCATCCGACAAAGTTTTAAATTTGCCAAGAAAAATACAGTTTTTTATACGTATTATTCCTTTTAAGAGAAGGTTGATTCCATTCAAAAGTACTTAGAACTTTCTAAAAATAACTCTGATCTGTTAGACCAAACTAGGCGCAACTGTAGGGGAAAATTGTTTTTGTGAAATGTCGAGTTTTAAAACTGTTCAGCTACAGAAAAAACATTTAATCAATAGCTGAAATTTATTAGTTAAAGAGATTTTTTTCTCAGAGCAGCAAGAGGAGTTTTTTTGATGCTAAAAAGTGTGTTTGAGAGGTTGTAGGAGCTGGAATGAAAATTAAAATTGTGACACAAGAGGCAAACCAGTTCAGTTTATTTTTACATGGTTGTAATAGTAAAAGCCTAAACTGCCTAGATATATGAGTAGGAACATTAAAGTTTACCTCAGGCAAGGACCATGAACAACAAATTGATCCGGTAAAAAGTTTTAGTACGAACAATAAGTATCGTAGAGTTCCTCCGGAAATATCTTAGGGCAAAAAGTAAAAATTGCTTTTGAACAGACCCTAACTTATCGGAATGAACGTGATAATTGGGGTTCCATATCAGTGAGTCATTTTCTAATATTGGCCTCTTCTTTTGACAAAGGCAAAGCATTTTTAGCTTTTAACGCTGTAGTATCGATATGAAAATGGAAGTTTTGCTTAAGGTCCATCATAACCGTAAAAACAATAAAGTTTCTCTTTACAGTTGCTAGTTGTATGTATAAGGAGTAGGTTGAGCTAGTCTTGTTATCTTGGTTGGTCTTACACTTCGTAAGGTTCAAACGCATGTCGTTGTAATTGTCTAGATCGTTTTGTAACAAACGTCTTTCATCGAATGAGGTATATGACATGAAAAGTTTTACATTTTCGGCATATAACAAGATATTTGAATGCTTTATTACGGTAGATAAATCATTTATAAATAACAAAAACAGAAACGGGCTAAGATGGCCACCGTGAGGAACTCATGATGAGACATGAATTAATTGTGATAAATTGTGTCTGAATGTCACACGTTCTGTTCTATTGCAAAGATACGAGGAAACCTATTGAAGAAATCTTGAAAGTACAGAAGATCTTGTTTATGGATGAGAATGGAGTGATTAACCCTATCTTATGCTTTACTGAAGTCGGTGCAGATGACGTCAATTTGTTTATTATCTCTAAAGGCTTTAGAGATATGTGACACAAATATTCAAGCAAATTTGTAAGTGTAGATTTTTATTTACAAAACCCATGTTGGGATTTAGAAAGTACTGTAGAGATCAAAACATCACCTGGCTAGTAACGATTGCCTCAAATAACCACTCTAATGCAAAGGTACTATAAAGGACGGCTTCGTTATTTGAGGCAAGAATTAAAAAGATGAG